CAAGTGCTATTATACCAGAAGTGAATCAAAAAACAGTACCAATGTAATAGCGGTGAAATGGCATACTGGGGTTGATATGGGGAGCATCGATCGATCCGAGATCGGTACCGGGAGCAGCGCGGCGCCGGCGGGTATGGGTTCAAATTTTGTTGGATACCGACTAATACAGTAACTCACAACGCCACAGTAACCCAGCTTATTGTAATTTGTAGCATTCAGCGTAACACAATATAAACCAGAGATATGCGGCCGACTCGGCTCTTTTCTGCACGGACTATTTATACATCGCGTATTTCTCGATATATGGTCGGAATTTGTGTGCATGGGCTGTTTAAATAAATCATTCTTCAGGCTCACACTTTTCGAGCGTTGGTGTGTTGTATGAGCTCTTGCGGTAGGATTTGGCAGAGGGAAAAACTGAAAGTTCAGGACGACGAAGCCGTTCGACGTAATACGTATGTGGGCGGAATGCACTCACCAACTTGCACGCCAGCGCAGAGAATTGAGCAGCTAAGTATCATGATCAGTCAATGTCCCTCTGCTTTTACTACTTTAATTACCCTGCTATGCTTGTTTGTTATTTTGGCATGCCCGCCAATTTCCATTTGGTTTTTTGAAAATAGATCTGGAGATGCAGGATTAGGCCTAACCAAACCAACTAAATCAATACTCATACTTCATCTAAACAACCTTACCTGTCGTTGTGAATTTTTCCTTTTTATCTACAATTATCGCTGACTCCAATTCGTGCATAATATTGGATCCAGACTTGAGATGGCACACTGCAAGCGCCTGCCTGCCGCCCCCGCTTCCACAGCCAAGCCGTCGGTATCGATCGATTGTGAGCGGACGTCGAGTCGAATGCCAACGTCGAATGTCGAATGCAAAGAGATATCCGATTCTCTCAATGGATTGAAGAGTAGGACCAATCACATCTGTTCCAGTGCAATTCTTTTCGTGGATTCTTCGATTTTTTTGGTAATGTCAACCATGCATGGTGTCACACCTGTCTCCTGCTAAGAAATGGGCATCGCCAGAGATTTCATGAAGTTCGAACCATAGACCATATACTTGTTGCCCCATTTCACTTAAAGTCGTAAAATGAGCCAACTTATTGTTTAACAGTGCGTGCATTCGCATCCCCCTACGCCTTTTGCTTCCTCCAATCAATACATATCTGGAACATTTTTGAGGATTCCGTCGTTCTTCCGCTAAACGCAGACTATGAACCATATTGCGGTACGAAATGCGTCTTACTTCTTCGCCATTACGTATTCAAAGGTCTGGAAGACCTGACAGTGTTGAGAAGCGAAAAGTGATGTTGTCAGATTGTATTTCTTCTTTATTAAAATAGCGTCTGTGTTAGATAATTTTTTATAACAACGAACTATCACTGATAGCAAAACTCGAATACAGACCGTATATTTCGTAGGACGTGACCAGACTTCTTTTGGCGAATGACATCCTGGGTCAAAATTGTGATCATTGCACTGGTACTATAACTACTGATCAATGAGCATTTGAGCAAAATGAAAGATGCTATCCCAGAAAAATGTGATTGAGATAATTAGAAACATGAAAACATGGATTCTAAAAAAGCATCTAATGACGACGATCAGTGATGGCTTTTTCAATGACTTATTAAAAGGAAAATAATCAATCTCTAGGAGATGGGTAAAATAAAAAAGCCATTCACGTAACCTAAAGGGATCAAGTGCGACCCGTCAACGTAGTCGACGGCGGCCACATTGAGAACGACGTTGGTCAAGCTTCGACACGTCCTTAATAAAAATTAGGGAAGACGACTAACACCTAATGACGACAGTACAAACAGTACAAACTAAATCGAAACATCCCTATAGAGTTGATGTGGTCAGAAAAAGAAATTCTTCGATATTTTCGAACAAAATCCATAATCTGATTATGTTTGCCGCAATGCAGACAGACAGTTCATAATGGAGTGATGATCAGATCAACCTTTCAGACTCTTTTCTTCTGCAATGCAAGGTCCGCTGGTGGTTCCACTAAAAGTGTAAATGAATAATGTAGTTTGAAATAAAATGGCATACTTTCAGGTACGAGAGACGAACATCAAACTGAGCACGATGGAGCGGAGAGCACCCCAAGACCCATGCTCACGAATACCATGCAGATTACTATTATTGTTGCACGACAAGTACACTATGAGTTCATTTGAGAAGGATTTTCCAGTATGTATGCATTTCAAGTTAGGTAACACATTCGCCACGCACAGACACAATGAACATTCAGTACAACATTGACAGGACATGCTCCAAAACGACACACAACACATGCAAAACTCATTTGTCAAGCGGTCATATGCAAACGTGCTTCAAAGGACCCTTCTGCTCTGTAGCTGCTCATTGTGATGATCAGGATTGACAGAACCCCGAGCACAATGGTCACGAATACGACACAACAAAAAACGATGGCAGTACAAACTAGTCCCAAAAACGCAAACACAACAGCACGGCTTGACAAATGCACATTAAAATGTTATGGTCAGAAAATCGACCAAATGTTAAAGGTACATATATCCCAGTACCAAACGGAAAACACCACAAGGGAAAACAAATGTCTACCACTGCAATTCAAGTTTATGTATTAAAAATCACGCTAGGTAAAACACTTGTAAATAAATTATTATACTATGAAAACAACTTCGAATAAATAAAATTGCGCACAAGCGCATAACAAACATGGAGACCATTTCATGTTTTGGCCACTCCACCAGACTCAATTTCCACTTACAACTAAGTATCATGTAACAATATTATTATTAATTCGAATGAAGCTGAGTTGCAAAGAGACACACAAGGTCACTAGACATTTGGCAACAGGTCGACAAGATTAGAGACGGAAAGTCAACAAAATTATAAAAGTACCTCGACAAAACCTATTAAATTCGGACATACACTAGCACATATTGATGAAACAATAGGAATAAGCGGAAACAAGGAAGACGGATAGGATCCCGCAACGAAGCACCCGAACACCACAAGCTCCGGTTGCCAGCTAGGGGTTATCAAAACTGTGGATAGCGAGGATGTTGGGATAAAACGCCCACATACAAAAATGAAACGACAAGTGTATCGAGAAGGCGCGAGAAACCCCTGATTCATATGTAGATATAGCATGAGCAGCTCATGGAGAGAAGAAAACGGTGAATACCGCCTAATAACAGCACTCCATTCGGTTAGTGGTAGAAAGGAAACATCACACTCCGATGATAAGGAACAGATAATTTCAGAGGTCGTTAAAAGATTAAAGTTCGGTATGCACACGCACTACCGGGCTACCAAATGCACGTTCAATACTCTTTGCATAAGGACCTAACATCCAACCAAAGTACGCAAACCACATAGCACCTAGGCCGATCAGGGAGATGATCGACCGTATGTTGTCTGCGCGATTAGCGGGCTTACCGTCGATGTAGTTGCGAGCGAAGAATTTAAGGATTTCGTCGAGAAGTAAAACTGGGAATGAGATCTTAAGCACTGCCATCCATTCGGCAAAAGATAAAGGAGTGATCTGTAAAGTCGATATCAAGGAGCACACCAAAAGGATTAAGTTGAACAACATACCTGGAAGATAGTGGCCATAATGTCTACGTATAGGATGACGAAGTGAAGCGACATTGACAAAGCAATGGCCGAGCACAACCACATGTTCTTCCAGGGTGGCATAATGAGTAACGATTGATTCTCAGATAGTCTAAAGGTAATAAGGAACTGAAAGGTTATAGGTTAAAATAGTAGACGTGAAGAAACTAACGAGTTGATAGCGTTGAGCATCTCAATCGTTACGAGTACGGATAGCGCCATTGCGTTAGGATGGTTATCTTCAAATACGGCGCAGTCCAGATCAGCAAAGTTCTCAGGTTCAATCTGGAGAATCCCTAATGAGTTAGGAACGAGTTGGTCCACATAAAACAAATACCTCGCATCTCATCCAGTGAGTTAGTTGGTAGTAAGTAATTTGAGGACCGTCCTCGTAAATCAGGAACCACCACATCGCTGCTCCAACGGTAGCAACTCCGACATAAGCTAAAAAGCGAGGAATGATGAAAATACAATTGGAACATACTACCGAGAAAAAAACTTACTTCCTACTGCAAGGTAACGGAAGAACAACCATTTAGAAATAAGTCCTTCGCTCGCAGATCGCGGATGACGCTCCATGATATCCAAATCAGGTGGATTGAAGCCAAGGGCAGTTGCAGGCAGACCATCAGTTACCAAATTGACCCACAAAAGTTGAACAGGAATGAGAGCTTCAGGAATACCCAGAGCGGCAACGAGGAAGATCGACACGACTTCTCCGACATTTGATGAGATGAGATACCGAATGAATTGTTTCATATTATTGTAAATTGCACGGCCCTCTTCAACAGCTGCGACGATGGACGCGAAGTTGTCATCGGCCAAAACCATTTCGGACGCCGACTTAGCGACAGCAGTTCCAGATCCCATTGCAATTCCGATTTCAGCCTTCTTCAGAGCGGGTGCGTCATTGACACCATCTCCAGTCATGGCTGTGATCTGTAATTAGAATAATATGAAGCAGCCAAAAACGTGATGGCTTAATAACTCAGTATTGTAATGCAGCAGTCATTGTTAGGATTTCCTGATGACAGACCATAATGTAAAAGCTGCAATGTGAGAAACAGCTAAAAACTACACTAATTTGGGGAAGAATTTGAAGAAAAGCATGCGAAAGAAACAGTCTACCTATGGATAGTGACAATCAAAAGGGAAAAGAGTAAAATTCAAATTGAATGAAATTAGACTTCCTGGGTATATTTCAAATGCCAGCTTCAAAAAANAAAAAATCATTAGAGCGTAATTCCTAGGATCTTCAGAAAGTTCCCTTGAGAAGCTTTCTTCAACAATGTAATCAACGAGTCAAGAAAAGTCCTTATTTCATAATCACAACACAAACCTCTCCATGGCTTTGCAAAATATCGACAATCTTCGATTTATGAGCAGGCTCGACTCGAGCGAATAGTTTTGCTCGTCTGCAGGCGTCCGACTGCTGCTCAGGTGGGAGATCGTCAAATTCTCGTCCAGTGAAAGCCTACAGAACCAAGACAATTACATCAGTAGTAATTAGAGTCAACTAGAAATTTCAGAAACTAACAAGGCCAGTGGTATCTTCGTCCTCAGTGAAAAGACCAATACGTCTTCCGATTGCTTCTGCAGTGTTCTTATTGTCACCAGTAATCATGATCACACGAATTCCAGCATGATTACATTCCCTGATTGAGCTCATAACCTAAAAAAGACCCCACTTGACAGTCAGCAATTAAAAAATGAATTAAAACCATTATCTCATACCTCAGTACGTGGTGGATCGAGCATACCAACTACACCGACGAATGTGATGTCACGCTCATATTTTGTAAACTGCGATGAATCCTCAAGATTCATCTCATTCGGGGAGACAGGGTTGTCGATCGTTCCCAAAGCAAGACAACGGAGAGTGTCTCGCCCAGTACCATATTGTACACACTTGTCGACAATCTTTTGAGTCATTGCAGGCGTAAGCGGTATTTTCTGGTTGTTCACACGAACATGAGTGCATCTGCCAAGAACTCCTTCTGGCGCGCCTTTAACGAACATCTTAGCTCCAGATCCGCCAGCAGCGGGCACACAGTACGATGACATTGATTTGCGATCACGAGAGAATTCCAGAGTGAACTCCTATACAAAAAATCAAAATTTGGTTGAATGATAGGGAAAGCCGTTAAAGAAAAAGGTCCTCACCTTTCGCCACTTTTGTTGGATAACACGGTTGCAGACGTTGCCGAGGTCGCGAGGTGACAATCCAGACTTTGGTGTACCGTACACGTTCATCTTCTCAGCGAGAACAACCAGCGCTGTTTCGGTAGCCTCTCCGACCTTCAATGTAAAGCAGAGATAACAGCTTCAGTCAGCACTTTGAACCCAGCCGTACAGGCTCGAACAGTGTTGTTCTCTGATAGCCTTGTTCTGGTTGAATCTCCACTTTTTGTACTCTTCATATCACTAGTTTTAGAGTGTAAGCAGTTAAAATTTTAGAGTGTAAGTAGTTGTAATTTATTCACCTTTCAATTAATGTGTTCACAATTACTGAGGAACAGAAATGGAATCACTAAATGGCGAGCAGGTATAGTCCGGAAGGGAAACAAACCCTGCGAGTCTAATTTTGTGGTTTAGCTTACCTTTTCATAGACTTTCTTTGTGTCATTGTAGTCCACTGCCGAGTCATTGCACATAGCACAAATAGTGGCAAGCTCAGTGAGGGCATCGAAGTCACCACCAGCACAGTTAACCTACGACAGGATAATGCAGAAAATGCAGTACTGAGAAGAGCTGATCAAGTACCTCCTTTCCATGGAAGAACACTTTTCCAGAAGGTTCGTAGGTTGAACCAGTGATTGTGAACTCATTGAAGTCAATGTTGTCGTTTGAGGCATGCTGCGCGATGAACATTTTCGATACAGACATTTGATTCGTTGTCAGTGTTCCGGTCTGCAGTGAAGAATTATAATTCTATTAATGCTCCTATTTTGATGGACCGTGTAAAAACAGAAATTATAAAGGAAGTACCTTATCGGAGCAAATCACAGATGTGCATCCCAGAGTTTCCACGGAAGGTAATGAACGAACAATAGCATTCTTCTTTGCCATCCGTCGAGTACCAAGGGCAAGGCAAGTTGTGATGACGGCCGGAAGACCTTCAGGAATGGCAGCCACAGCAAGTGCTACAGCGATCTGTAATACGAATTACTGAATGATTTCTGTGCAAAAGCAACTGCGAGGACTAGAAATTCACTTTGAAATAGTAGATGGCGCCTTTGATCCATGAACCGCCATGGGCAGGATCGTTGAAGTGACCGATGTTGATAGCCCACACAGCAACACAGATGATGGAGATGACCTGCAATAGCGAGTAACTATGACGAGTAGTACTATAAAAGATTAACCAAATGGTAATAACTTAATCTTCCTGTACTAAAATATAAAAATTCGTTCTAGCAATGCTAAACAGCTCGGCAATCAATAGGATGCGTTGTTACTTTGAACTTCTAGACTCTTTAGAAGCTTTGACCTCAAAAGTGGCGGAACCATCCCTACAAGGCACTGGGTGCAAAACCAGGAAAACGATAGGCAAGGACATGATCTTCCAACCCAGCACACTGTTTGCTCGATCAACTTGAAAATTGTGACACTTCAGCCTTACACCCAAATGTATTAGACTTTCAGTAACCTTACTTCCCATGTTACCTCAAGAAAAGAAACACTGACGAACCTGACCATTGGGAGCTATTTACTAGCCGACAGCCAAATCTTTACGTAAATCAAAACGAGGATTAAACATGTACCCCTCATTCCTATTATAATTGCTACCATACACAGACGAATTGCCAGTTATATTGCTTTCTATATCCCCCTTTTCTGTGAACAGGTGTGACTCTGACAATTACAACCTCAAAATGAAACCAAAAGCTCGGAATTTCTACTGGCAAAATGACGTAATCGAGTTGTCGCATTCTAATAAGGCAATTGAATAAAGAGCCTTCTAAAGTAAATAAAATCAAAAAGCAACGACTTGAAAAAAATAAAGGAAGGACTCAATGTGAAGACATATTTATTGTATACCCAGCTGCAACCACATCTGCACTCACCTTAGACAATTGCTCGCCGAACTCATCAAGCTTTTGCTGAAGTGGAGTCTTATCGCTTTCGGTCTCAACCATTTCAGTACGAATCTTTCCAATTTCAGTGGATAATCCAGTACCGAATACTATTCCACGAGCCTGAACAACCCAATGAAATTGACTATGATATATGTGAAAATAGAACAAATTCGTTACAATACCTTTCCAGAAGCTACGTTTGTGCCGGAAAATAGACAATTCTTCTTGTCTTGATTCACGGCACGGGGATCAGGAACGGCTTCGGTGTGCTTGATTACTGAGACGGATTCACCAGTTAGAATGGACTGATCGATACGTATCGTTGTCGAGTAGATCTTCAGCAGTCGAAGGTCAGCAGGAATCTTGTCACCGACTAAAATATCATCTGATGGCTTCTGCGTCAGAATAATGCATCGATTGTTTTTTGGGTCTTTGCCATCGTTATAATTGATGTAGACGGCAATTGCAGATTAAAATGGAAGCAGCACAGAAAACTACATTATTTTCAAATGGAACATTTAAGCAACAACGGAAAAGCCTATAACGTACCAGAAACTTCAACAATATCCCCGGGAACAAGCTCACGCGCTCGTATCATTTGTATACCATGAGTTCCTGACCGTACAACCTTAGCCATTTCTGGTTCGTACTCTTTTAAAGCTTCTATGGCAGATTCTGCATTCCGCTCCTAAAACAGAAATATGGAATCGGAAATTAAACTCCAAGCCTATTTCATAAAGTCTGACAAGAAATGTTGAGTTTCCAGTTTAGGATAAAAAGGAACGATGAATCCCAAAGATATTCGACTGACTTTGAGCTTAATTTTTCAAATCACGTTTTCTTCTGAATGAAATACTAGAATTCAGTCCAGCGTGGATAATTTGGGGAGAGACATTAACTACCTATGGTGGACTTGGCGGGAGTGGAACAGGCGTTTTTCATTTAACTTAAGAGATCCTCAGCAAAATTTTACCTGCCAAACTCCGACGGTAGCGTTTGCGATAAGAATAAGAAGAATAACGAAAGGTTCAACGAAAGCTGTAACGGCATCTGTCTGGTCATCATGTTCCTCGAACAGTGCTAAGACCTGGAAAAAGAAAATTACTAATTTCCTCTTTTTCCTTCATCTACGAGAAGACGAGCTAAGGTATATCATCGCCTGTTCACTGCCTGGTTGCTGAAGAAAATGATGTCGTTAGCCAAATGTCAGAAAAAAAAAAGACGAGACGCAAACATTTGTTGGAAAAGGCGCAGCTGTTGAATGCCGTGCAGGAAAAGCAGCAGCCGCGAGCGCATAACCGACCCATAACATTATTTTGATGCAATCTTCAGAAATAACCAAGTCAAATATCTATATCTAATAACTACTCACTCAAAATCAAAAATGAAAGAAATAAATCATTGTAGAAGCCTCATCAAATCAAGGGACATTGCTACTTTGAGAATTAAAGGAATAAACCTTCGACTAAAAGCCCATGAACATTTATAAACAAAAAGATGGAAGAGTCACAATGCATTATGGCCATTTTATTATATTACACTCAGTAGAAAAGAAAAATAAGCTTGGGTAATAAATCACTCACAAAAGAAATTATAGCGGCGAGAAGAAGAATCTTGACAAGGAGATCATCAAATTGCTCAAAAATAAGTTCCCAGATGGACTTTCCTTCTTCCGCAGGCATTTCTGAAAAAGAAAACATTTATCTTGTCAGTAATCATAAATACTGGTCAATATCAATTGGCTAAAAGTCATTTTAGAAAACTCTCTTTTCCTCTCTTAGTAAACACTTCCGACACTTTCGGTTTTGAAGTCCTCAAATATCGCACCTCCGCAGAGATCAAATAGAACTGAAACTTATCCTGACATCCCCGTCAATTCAAATATTACACTGACGCGCACTTCTGCTCGAGGTTTTTGAAAGAGCGACTATATCGAAGCATTCATGCCGCAATGATGGCAATAAAGTGGCTTAATATCAAAGAAATTTGCGCATGAAAGCTTAACGAAGAACAGATTGTCGAAGTAAGATCTTTTCAATCATACATACACAACGGAGGAAAATCAAATCACTTGTAAAATTTACCTCATTGAAATAAAAACTACGTATGGAGTAAAGTTATAATGGCCTTACTTAGTATGGTCTTATAAACATCGGTTTGATTTGGACTTTCAAATCTAATCTAGCAAAAATTAAAATATCCTCGTTATAAATTAGGAGATATAATGGAAACGTACCATTGTAGCCATATTTCTCCCTCAAGACGTCTACCTGGCTCTCTGTTAGCCCGTCTGGTCCAACGTTGAAGAAACGGCAAACCTAAGAAGGTTCGGGTTAAACAAACTCTACTATCGTTTTAGAAGATTACAGAAAATACTTCAAGCATTCTCAATGTAATTTTACCTCATCGCCCGTTTTCGTATGAGCATCTTCCATACTGGCGCTAATTCACCCAAGCGGATGGAATGCCCTCCGGATCTGAAGAAAATACATATTTCCTCAAGGGAGAAAACTTAAGAACACAAGAGAACATTAAGCGATAAGCATCGATCGGAAAACTTTTCACATCTGGAAGAAAAAACAGAAAGTAATGGCACTCAAAGAGGTCGGCGTAACTGAGATATTATCGATCTTCAAGAAATGTAAGTTCACAGCTAATATAGAAGACACAAACTGGGATACATAAACGCATAAATAATTATGAAATGCATTTTCCAACTACAGAAAAGTAAAGCATCCCTTTCTAACGGAATTTTCATTAAATCATTGCATGTGGAGCTGTATTGCAGCAAAATAATGTCTGATAAGAACTACGGCACATGGGTCGATGACGAAGACCTGGTAGTCGAAATCAATTTCAATATGAGGGGGGGGGGGGGGGGGGGGGGGNGGAATGAGCCATCATAGATCATAAACCTTTTTAAAAGACAAATTACAATGTTTAGTTACCAATTTGGCACGATTGGCGTCAATCATCGTCAGCATTCAAATGACGGTAATCGCGCGGTGGGACCGACCAAGCGCCACCGTGTCATCGGCCAACTGGCGAAGATGAAGATCCCTGCTCTTTCAAATTGGGAACGAACAAGTTTGCAAACGAACTGACGACTAACAGCAGCATTAGTTGTTGTATGGGAAGGCGCAGATGCTGTGTGTGGGGCAGAGCAGAGTGTGTGATGTTAGTGGGTAAGCAATAGGGGTCTGGGGCGGAGCCGAAAAGCCAACTGTCCCGAGCTGCGAGTTCTCCGTTGCTTCCCTCCGGAGAGGAAAAATAACAAAAGCTCAGTTCCAATATGCCCCAAGAGATGAGCTCTGCCCCATAGGAGATCCAACGAAAACGTGCCGATCTGGAAAGGGCAATACTGGTTCGCGTGGATTTTTCCCTGATCAATAGCGATTTCCCGATTCCCACTCGGCAAATTTACTGCCTATTAACTCAAGGAGGTTTTTTCATGGTATTTCGTGGTCATGTGATAAATGTTGTGCTTTAAACATACCACAAAACATCTCACAAGAGAGAAGTGGTGGAAAGGATTCTGGGAGCGAAAAGGCTTATGGGAGAAGGAAGGGCCCCGTAATCACTCACAGATTCTTCAGCTATTTGCCCTACACTGCCGAATGCTTGATTAAAAGCACATGAGCATTTGCTCAGCTCAAGAACGACCAAACCAATGATCATTCTCATATGAACCCCTACAGGCTGGTTTACAAAGAGGGGAAGATTAGGGACACAAAGTGCGTGCAACAAATTCCAGGCTTTGCCAAGGGCACAAGCCCTATTTTTGCTTTTTCAGATCTGCCAAAACTATTTTCTCTTGGCAATTTCTTGCTAGTATTACTCCAGTCTGAAGGCTAGGATGGAGGTGCTAGCACAGCCGGTCTTTATGGGATACGCCGCGCGTCCTACCACCATTTGACCCATGGGAGGAAGTTGGAATAATCCAGTCCTAAATAGTGATAGTCTATTATCAGCCAGGAGAGTAGTTACACGAATGTGGCCAAAGTATGAAAAAATCTCTCAGATTCTTTTTTTTTCGTAAACTCGCCTTGCACGTCACATTAGGCTTAAATNTAAAAGTATAAAGCTACTCGGGTGGGTCTTATTAGTTTATGGAGTTATGGTAACATAATATTCCAGACTTTTATGAAACTTTTCAAAAAAGGCAGATTCCTCTATGAATTACAAAGATCCCTATAGACTTGAGATGTGTGACATTAGGTCGGACCAGGTGCTGCCCGAGTTGCCGCAAATCGCGCGAGGTGCATTCGCGCGGGAAGTTCACGCGCTGTAGACGGGAAACGGAAAACCGTAGATCTGCTGCATTTCAGCATAAACACTCAATTGGGAAGAGTGCAGTGGAAGGATAGGAAGATCCTATTGTTAGATCTAGCCTTTGTTTGTTGCTATGCCAGCGAGCATTCGTTGAAGACTGGCCATTTCTAGGAGATAACGAGTCCGAGTGGCATGAAAAAGAATCGATCAGCGTGCGGAAGTAAGTATAAATTCAAAATTGTCGCCATACTTTGCTGCTAACCTCTTTTTCTGGACTAGCATCACCTGAAATTGACGATTTCTGAAAATTAAGGATTTTCTTAACTGCTAACTGTGATAATTGAATAAGTCACCGTTAAGACCACTCCGATGTTTAAACTTATGGGTTAAGCTCGAATGTGAACCCTGACAAGCTTCTCATTTGTTTCTTCATGTGTCCCTGTTCATGCGCTACTCCGGGCCATAGTATCAGCTTTTCAATCTTTACAAATTTTACTCTAACTCCTCGATACGTGTTTACTATTATTCATTGTTATCGTTAATCACAACAACAATAACGACAGCGGTAACATGAAATTTTAGTGTCGGTCTTTTTGCGCTTGAAATTGAATTGTTTCAAGATTATGAGGCGTAAACACCGGTGAAAATGCTGTTGGGGGGAGGGGGGGGGGGGGGGGGGGCATTTGTTTTACAACCTTGTCTGCGCTCTCTCATCAAGATCGTGCCCTATTGAACGATTCGTCTTCCAACCGATATTTTTTCTCGAGGTGAGCTTGTTTAAAACTTTGATCACGGCAACATTTAGTAGCGGTTACATACAATGAACTTTTATGCGCACTGATAATCGCTACTAGAGTACGTGTTTTACTACGCCATGTTAGCTAGAAGTATGCTCTGCTGTGTATGCCATATGAGTAGAGAAATTAAGGGGCGTTGTTTTCAATTCTCTCGCCGCACGCGGTGACTCTTGGCTAGCTGTCTCGCGTGCGGCACGCTAGTGGGAATAATCCACACCTCTTGTTTTACAAAATCTAAGTACGTCATAAAAAACACTCGGAAAAACATCCCTTCTTTCACTCACACTTTTTCGTTCGAGTATAACACTGTTTTCGTCACATTTCACCCATTCTACCCCGCTTGTAGGCCTCATTTGACATTGTTAAGTGCAAAAATAATCTGACCTCATGAGAGTTGATGTTGAGGCATTAGGCTCACAGTTGAGTGATTTTCTGCGAGAATTTGCAAAACTTCCGTCGTATTGTTAATGCTTGTTTTTCATCCGGGCGGGGATGTGTTTCGAATAACAAACCCTGTAGCTAGCTAGACGTGATATACTCCCCAGTGATCATTCGTGTTGTAGTAGCGGAGAAGAGCAATGTTCAAGGCATAGGAAGAAATGTGTAGAGATACAATGATACAACTCGGACGAATCTTATGGTTAGTTTCAGGATGACCTAGAGACTAGAAACTAATAGCCGGAGAAATGGAAGCGAAATAAGCATTTCTGGAGTGAATGTTTCAAATCTCTGAAGGTCCAGGAGAAATCGAGGACATTCAACAGAAGTGCCAAGAGGGAGAAGACGTCTATTACGCAAAAATCGAGCTGGACGGGGTATGTGCGAAAGTCGAAGTCGAGCTATAGGTCCAACAAAGACGGGAGGATCCGCAGAAGCATTCAACAAAGATGCTGTTTAAGATGACTGGGCGTCTATCATGATGAACTATTAGTTTGGAAGTTGATAAGAAAAGTTGCCAGTGGCCAAATAAAAGCAGGAGGTGAACAACACCTAGGCTTCTCATTTCTGTCGGTATCGAGGTTATCCGTCTGTGCCGGGATCTTAAAACAGTTAACAGAGTGAGTAAAATATATTGGTTGGGAAGTTGGAACCACACAGGATTATGGAATATCGATCGAAAGCCTCATTTTGTTATTTCGTCTACGGGAGCGTGCAATAGCCAAGTGGGTGGAAGATAAACGCCGTCCGTGGTTTATTAGTCAAAATCCTAGAGGATTTAGGGGATATTACTCGAAGGTTCCGTGAAATAGTTTATAAAAGTCAGCTAGCCCCTTCAAATTAATGTGGTAGTGCCCAGGTGGTGTGGAGGGAATCGATCCCACAAACTGTCCAAGGTGTTGTGACACTTGACCACTGCTCCATGTGGAAGACAATCGATAAAGAATATAGTGAAGCAAGAAAAAGGGAACGCTTTCATTCATACGGTGAGAGACGTGAAACTGAGCACATCCATCCGATGTTTTGCCAGAAAGAAGAGGAGTTCTAGGAAATAACAGCATGTCAGCACTTTGTATTGCAATGTCTGTTATCCACTGCTTTACAATGCCAAGTTTTTTATGACGTAAAAAGATCTTCGGAATTGCTGGCATGCACCTTCGCCGTTCTTAAACATATGTGGGAATTTTGACGTTACTTCGACTTCTTCCCTGGTCAGAACTCGACCACTCGAGATTTACTGTATTCTCTGATTTGAAGTACTTTTCGAGCAAGTTATCTCCAGTCCAACACAATCACATTTGAGCGGAGTGATTTATGCTGGGCCAGAACAGTACGCGGCAGGACAACTAGATAGGGACTGCCCGAGTGCGCTTCGCTGCGCGCGTCCGTCGAACTAGGTCACACCGCAGTCGTCGCATGCGGCGGATCAGCCTGCGATACTTGGCAGACGTCGCAGTTGTCGGGGGAGCATACGTTTTGCGCTTGGTGCACGGCATTCAGCTTAAAGAGAAAATAACACGGACAAATGCAAATCATTCGCTCCACTAACACTTTTTGGTACTCTAATATCACTTCGAGACCTCAGTGGGCTGCGCCACTCACAAAATGGGTGGGGTGACCTACTTTCGACGGACGTGTGGAACGGACGTTCTTCGGGATTGCCACGCGCAGTGGCGGATCGGGCATGTTGTATGCTCAGCTATGGTGACTGTTTCAGACACCACAAGCGCAGCTTGATACAGCACACAAGGCACGTGGTTTCCTGCTTAAACCAAGCTTTTCGCTCTCGTTCCAGTAGGCAGGGTTTACTCCTCATCATCCTTTACTTGGGTATGGTTCATACTGCAAACCTAGGTATGCTCCCAATGGTAACTGAAACCTCATGGGAACGAACCTAATGCTTTCCCGGGTTGATGTTTGTTTCCTAT